CACTGATGAATGACTTGCAAACACCTGATTAAGATAATGGCCTCCAAAATGCAACCAATGAAAAGATTTGAAGAAATAATATTGTATTCCTGTTTGCTGATACATGTTTATTTACGTCAGTGGAAGTGACCCAGAGGAGCACAGACCTGAATTACCATGGATTAAAGCTTGAATTAGCATCTTTAAGACTAACTAGCTCAGGTTTGTTGCAGAAAAACAGAGTTGCTAACTTTTGTGGCATAAAATGAGACGCGGATCTGGTGGCAGTACGTATTTTAAACACAGAATAATAAACGGTACCAACTTTGCCTCAATGAAACTTAAGGCAACATACTACATGAACTTACTGCATGTTAGGACTAATGAGCTTCTAATAAGCTATTTGAATCATTTTAAAATAAAATGCTTTCCCTATCTGTCATCTTTTTCATCTTTATCTTGTTAGGAGTTTTATAGATCAGCCAGTCATGCATCTGATTTAAAGGAGTCAGCTGCACAACATGCAGAAATCAAAAACATGTTTATGATTGTCACTGCAAAGCAGCCAGAGCCACTATGCTATAAAGAGACACATCAAAGACAAAACACTGAGAAAAAAAACTCTAAACAATAATAGGAAGCTGCGTATCCACTGACTACTGATAGCTGAGATTTTTGCTCTTATTTTTCCTAAAATCATTTTCCTTCGTTGCAGTTTAGGGCGAAATTATGTCTCTATTCCTCTTTTCAAATAGTCATATTCCACATTAAAGCTGAACCTTCACTCGGATGATGACTATGTATGCCCAAAGCTGATCTAAGCACATCTTTCCTCCTTCAAACTGTTATAAAATGTTCTCCTGTATTAATGAGAGCCTTATGCAAACCGGGTGGGCGTTCTGGAAGATTTCGACATTTCTTTTTGCAGAAATTGGATAAATGCAAGACTTTTAACTTTAGTTAAAAATCTATTATATATGGAAATATATTTATTTTAAATCAAAGTGCATCAATGGTTCACCTGGACAGAGTTGAGCCTGCAGTAGCCGTTGAGGGGAAAGCGGATGACATGCGTTGGATCCTGGTTCCAGCCAGCGTTGACAGAGTTACACATAACGTCCCCAGTCTCAGGGAAGATCTCCTCTATGAGGATCTTCTCTCCGCTCAGGGCGATCCTCTCACCCAGGTCAGGTGTGACCCGGACAACCAGGCAGTCGCAGGGCTGTGCCATTCGCCGCTGTTCTCGCTCCTGCTTCCAGCGCTCCAGCTCCTTGATCATGGGCGTCAGCTGGTAATACCGGGCCTCCTCATACAGCAGGTGGAAATCCTGCACAGACAGAGTAAACACAGAGATTAGTCAGTTACAGTCCTCCTGGCTATATGTGTGACGAAATCACGATTATCTTTCACTATGTTACAGCTCTCCACCAAAGTGAAAAATCCAGCACATATGCAGCAGAATGTAACATTAAACATTTCAACTGAGAGGATAAAAAGTGTGTTTAGGACATGAAGGGATGAGACTCTCCCCTTTATTCCACAAACGAAAGTATGCTTGATCGAAACTGCTTTTAAATTAATCCAGCACCAAAATATCAAACCTGATATCGATACCTGGAAAATATTTTATTTAAACAAGAAACACAAAAAATGTATAACATTTACAATATTATGTTAACATTAACAAAACATGGAACATACTTCCTCAACAGAGTCACATATGCTAGTTTAATAAGCGTCTACATAACTGCTAAATAAGTAACCCAATATTACTCAATTCAACAATGTTTTAAGGCTGTTTGTTCTTTTAATAAGCAAATAATCTAGAAATGTAAAAGTACAGCTAAAGTACGTAAACAGCGCCCGTCTTTAGTATGGATAGTATGTATTTAGTATGCATAGCTAATTACTCTTGTATTAGGATACAGTGTTTTTTGTTTGACAACCCTACTTTGGATTTTCAGAAGTTGTGGAAAATCTTTTTTAGAGTATTTTCCTGTATTTAGCTCCATCTACCAGCTGCACAAAGTAGTCCCAAAACATTATGCCGCCACCACCGGTCTGAGGTGGTATGTAAATTATCACTGATGGGGCTTCACTTGTAACCAAGAAATCTACATAATTGTCTCTTCTGGTCAAAAACTCTCCTTCTTGTTTCCTTTTTAAAGCTCATTTTAAACCGGCTTTCTTTTAAATATAAATTTCTTCTTCCGACTCTTCTCTAAAATCCAAAGTCTACCAAAACATTTGAGCGCTGCAGCTCTGCTACTCTTCTGATAGCTGCTTCTCTGATTAATTGTCTCCTGATCCGCCACATTGGCATACAGTATGTGGAAACCCGTTTGTTGGTAGGTTTGCACAGTCGCTGATCTGTTTGCTGTGTTTTTATTTGCTCTTCTTGGTGCTGACCAAGTCAATAAATTACCAAAAGAGTTCATTTTTTGTGGATCTGTCTCATTAAATGTCAAATATACTGATCTCAATGGTGTGGATACTTTTTATTGAAGCTGTTTGGATGATGAGAGAACTTCTCGGATGCTAAAGGAGGAAATGAAGTTAAAGTGAGAAGATAACCTTAACAGTGTGACAGCATCCTACATCCTCAGCAGAGAAGAACAATAAAATAAGATTGGGGATGGCCTGCGATTAGCAGAGCCGCGCTCCCGGTAAGCAAAGGGTTGCTGCGCTGCAGCTTGCCTCCTCAGCAGCTCTTGGCAGAGCCCTGCTGGCCTTTAGCATGTTTTGGTGAGCTGACTCCAGAAAGGCCATCAGTGGTGCTCTAGCATAAGTGTGATGGTGCATTCCTGTGTGCACAGTCTGCAGCAGATTGCTTGCCTCTCACTCCTGGGCAGGGCTAGCTTGGGGCCATTTTCCCCCGGTGCGCTTGCCTCTAATTTCCCACAAGACCAGATGGTACCATCATTCACCACTACTATAGAAAAAAAGTGGGAGGAGGAAGAAATGTGCAAGTGAACATGAGGACAGTTCTCAGCAAAGAAGGCATTTTAATGGATTCCTCATTTTAGGTGGGGGTGGGAGACATTTAGGGGTATTGGAAGGCATATTGGGGTTCTGCTAATAAAGCTTGTGGCGCAATGTTAAGCTCCTATTAAAACACAATCTAATTAGATTACACCTAAACCCTGCAAATCTTTTGGCTAAACAATCAGTAATTAATCCATTCTGTTCTGATTAGTGTCTCACAAGGAGAAAGAATGACAGCTTAATCCATTTATTGTTTGAGAACTGTCATCCCCTGACATGCAGAGATATTTTCCCTTTGCGACACGGATGTTGTTGCGATGTTGGCTGGAACCGCTGCCTGTTTAGCTTTATGAGCCAAAACAAAACGATGCCGCATAAATCTGCATCCGAATAAAACTTGGAAAACGTGACATACAGTGACAATGCAAATTTGCAGGGATAAACAGATCCAGAGAACATAAGTACGGTGATTTTCGCATCTGGAAACTGAAACCTCTGACTTTTTACCTTACAAGATCAGTCATCTGTCACATCCAGCTGACATTATAGAAGAGATCTTACCAGGGTGTTGGTTTATCATCACAAGTTTGGTTTGGTTTAACGCAAAACCAACATGGTTTTTGACAAATGCAAAACAGATTTCTTTTCCCTTACTTTTAATTGTTTTCTTCTTTTTTTTTTATAAAGGGTAGATTACTGAGATGTAAGACTAATATTAGATTACCTCACCTGACCTGTGGATTTATGTAGAGTTACCACAGACCTTCTGGCTTTTTTTTTCAGTTTTGAACAGGCAAAACTCTGTAGGTTTGCAACATTGCATTCTTCTATCCAAATGAGTCCCAAATGAGATGTTAAAAGCTTGGGATGTCATTTTGTAACCTAAAAGCTTGTTTTACTTCTCCACAGCTCTATCCCTAACCTGGCTCCTTTTAGTCTAAACATTTAATCAATTAGGTTTTAATGTAAACCACTAAATCCTTTATATGACATCTAGATTTTCCCTCTAATATCGAGCACATGTGGAGAATATTTACCGGTAACACAAATTCTTAACAAATATCGACCGATACAGGTTTTTTAAGGCCCTATATAGATAATGAATATTTTAACATCAGTCTAACCGATCCCTGACATGTGCTGACAATATGTTTTGGGCTGATACTTACAGATGATCTTAATTTTTCCTTCCCCCATTTACATGATAAAAATTAAACAATAAAAAAAAAATGTTAAACATTTACAATGGGTATCAAACGGAAGAAGCAGCAAAGAATGTGCTTTAAGTGATTTCAAGGCATGGCTGCTAAATGCACTTACGAATCGTCACGTACAGCGCAGTACCGATACAAGAAAAAACAAAACACAGATATTGGACAAAAATATCAGCCGGTCAATTTATCTCTTCAAATGTTTTTTGGTTAAATGAAAATTATTCAGGTGTACCAGAGGAAGCTATACCTAATATGTAGGCCATCAATGCTTCTATACGTTTACCTTGTAAAACATGAGAACTGAAGTAGACCAATATAACGGTTGGGTCAATAATAACTTAATCCATAATAATTTTTACTTTTTTTGCATTTGCCAATTCTATAATGCATTCATCAGCCACACCTTAAGATCACGTGAGGCAGAGCATTCAGCTCCCGCTATTTTTTGTCCATTATTAATGTTTTCTTTGAACAGTTATTAAATATATCTGCTTTCCTTAAATTGAGACTTCTGCAAAAAAAAATTTTTTTTGTCATTTTTATTAAATAAATTGAGGGGCAGCATTGTGCATTGGTTAGACGGAAGTCAAACTCATCAGTATTGTAATATAAAAAATTATGATTTTCATTGTTGCTCATTTAAATATACTAACAACTGGTGTTCCAACCTCTGCATGGTGATGTTTCGTTTTCTCCAGCTGGACACAGAAACAGAAGATGCAAAAAAAAAAAAAGATATTCAGGAACCCCCCCACCAATCCCTGAAAAAAAAAAAATATGTGACTTTTTACCCCTTAATCTAAACTGTGGCTCCATCTGAGACGTGGGAACGACACCCGAAAGCAGCTCCATCTGTTCTCGGAGTTGACGCAACACATCTTAAACTCAACTTCTAATATTTAGGATTTTTAGATCATGAACGAAGGATGGTGGGTCCGTTTTCTCCCCCTTTTTTCTCCTCTTTTTTCTTCTTTTCTCTCTGCTGGCCTTCTTGCTGCAGCTGACAAAATTCATAGCAAGACGCTCCCCTTCAGGCAGCTCTCTGTATCAAAGTGTTGCTCCTCATCCTTCACAGGTCTGAAGCAATGGATGGATATGTTTTTAACAGGGGTCTGTCTGCGAGGCACTTTAGTCATCCTGAGCAGCGCAGAAAACAACAGAGTAATCCTAAGCGCTGAGGTGAGGATGAGAGGGAGACAAGGCCAACAGCTCTGTCCAGGTTGCTGAAGCTGCTGTTACCGCTGCTAGCTCTACCAGACTATTCATCCCCCAATCCTGTGTCCAGACAGCCCGTTTGAGCTTCAAAATAATGATCCGACCTGATAGCCCGACGGCAAGGCAACATTTCAGGGACGGACACGGGGCATGGACTGATGGATAAAGACAAGAAGAAGAGAAAATGATAGAGGATGTCACCAGCAGGGAGTCAGACTAATAAAGACCTTCTGTGTGTCTTAAATCCAAAAAAAAAAAAAAAAAAAAGACTACAAGCACACAAGTAGAGGCTCACAAGTTGTTGATTAAACAAGCCACTGGGAAAGAAAAATACAACCAATTCTAGTATATTGGAGATCAGTCACAAGAATAAAAACACAAGCTTGAGTCAATACATAAGGAGAAGCCGATTTAAAGGAATAATCTGACACAAACGGAATTAACTCACTCCGCTTTAAAAACATGCCCTCCATATGACTGAGCATTGCTTACACTCTCCTGATTAATTGTACTGAATAATGAGCAGAGGAGAGGATATTAATAGGGAATATTTTGTTCCACTGACACAGGCTGGAAAAAAAAAGAGAAAACTATTTTCCTATTCTGCTCCGACTTTCACATTGATTTAGCAAAACACACTGCGCCTCGGCTGCCAGCAGCAGAAACAGACCCAGGCCTGAGGCGACGGCGAGCCTGATTGTGTTCAGATAAGGACATGCTCAATTCCGCCTCGCACTGTTTGCATTTTTTTCTTCTGCCTTCACACAAATTGAAAGGTATGCAGATCAACAGGGGCTTATGCGAGTGGGTCGTAATGAGTCTAAACAATGAAGCCTAACGCATTCTGGGAAAACGGAGGTGCCTGATTGGACTGTCGGGACTTCACAGAATGAAATGGTGCAGCAGGGGGCAGAGTGAATGCAAAAGGGGGAAAAGTAATCGGCTATGAGTCAAGCAAGTCGTCTGCCAAAATGTGCAGCGCTTTCATGTCCTGTTCCATCGTCTTAGGTTTGACTCTTGTTTCTGCCATACGTGGGGCCCCAGGAGCTTGCCCCTGGCTCTGAGCGGCTGGGCCTCGACTTGTTAGCTTATGGGGAAGGTCATGCAGCTTTAGGTAAAGAAGTGAAAAGAAGAGTCAACCTACAAAATCCAAAAATTAAAAAAAGAAGGATGCATCTACTGGTAGAGATATAATCAATCCATATATGATGATAAAAATATGAGGCGTACACAAATGTTGGGTGAGATGTAATAATTTAAATTACAAAACATTGAAAAAAATCTACTTAGACATTAAAAAAAATTACAGATAGAAAACACGCAAAAAACATAAAATGTTGCACAACTAGATAGGATGTTTTTTTTTAATTATGCAGCAAAATCTTTAAGGTTTTCATTTGATTTTTATATGATAGAGTAAACACGAAAAGAAACCGAGACGTGGTTCACAAGTTTTCACCCTGCTTTACTATGATAACCTAAATAAAATCCTACGTGTTATACATGGTTGATACATGATTTTCACTCAGTGTAAATCTAGCTGTTCTATTAAGGCCTCAGAAGTTTGTTAAACAGCTATAGGATAACAGTTTCGGTGTGTACAACAGAAATCTGGCTTTTAGGGAAAAAGTAAGGAAGAAGTGGTCATTGTTGAAGGTAAGCCTTAAAAAGTCCAGGTTTCTAGGAAGAAACCTGTGCAGGAAGGTGCTCCAGTCGGCTGAAAACCAAGTTAAACATTCTGCCTGACAAGGAAAACATTAGGTCACAGAAAACTAACACTGCTAAGAGTTTATATAAACGTGATGGAGGGAGAAATCCTCCTCACCTCAGCGGTTTCACCTTCCAGCAAGAACACAAAAAAATGTCCTAAAAAAGAGCTACAATGCATCTATTTAAAGCAAAGTATATTCATATGTTAGAGCGGCCTAGTCAAATAACTCTTCTAAATCCAATTTAGATAATAAGATCTTGGAGTAACTGTTTTTGGGAACTTTTTTCCAACCTGATTGAGATTAGACTATTTAGCCAACATCTTGACTAAATATCCCCAGTTGGGTTTTAAATGAAGTGTTGAGCCACAGACTTCTAATGATTGATAGACTTCCAAAACTTTATGTTCCGTCTACTTTAGGATTGCATATGAATAAACTACTTAGTGTTATCAGATAAAACAGAAGTTTATGTTGTTAAAGTGGTCAAAACAATCTTGCAGAGAATTGATTCTTGATTGAAAAACCCCAACTGTTTTTTTTTAACCCATAATTTTTACAAAAATAATTGTAAAAATGATTCTGAAAATTAAAAAGTATGCATTTTTCTTTAATCCCAAAGGCCTTCAACTACTCTAGATTTCCCAGGACAGAGAAACAGACAGAAACACAGAGTGGATAAATACCTTAAAGTCCTCTGGAAGGAGCAGTTTGCTGGTCCTCAGAAAACTCAGGATGTAGCGGAAGATCTCGCCGTCCCGATCTATGAAGTAGTGCTGCTTCAAGCTGTCCAACACGATGGGCTCGGTACCATTGAACAGGCGACTGATCCTGAAAATTGAAACAGACCCACACACATAAGCGCACAAACGTAGACAGCGACACACACAAACACAACCACATAATGGAATGAGCCAGCTCCCTTCAAATGCATGAAACAATTACCCTCCATTTATTTTTCAATTTTATTAGCACTAAGCTTGAAATGCATTAGCATCACAGGTTGAAACAAGGGGCTTAAGGCGCAGTTCCCCCATTCCAGACTTGTTTGAAGTGTCCCTTCTGCAGAGAGATTACAACAACACACACACACACGCGTACGCGACTGCTGGTTGTACTTACAGAAATTAATAGTATGAATGTAGCATTACAGCTCTATTATTTCATCTGTCAGAGGGGTGCAAATGAATCAGGGGTAGGAAACGGGGAAGGGCCATGTGTTAAAATGAGGGAAGCATGTAGAAAAACGATATTCCACTGTTACTGTTTAACTTTCCTATGAATTTAAATGGAGTTTAGAAGCAGCACTCTACTGTATGGGAAGCTGCTTGACTTGCAATTTTGGAAGAGATGGATCCCAAAACATAAACGTCATCTGAGAACCCAACTGAATAAATACATAAATAAAAAATTCAGATCAATATATGCTGTGAATATAAATATTAAGAGCTGTAAATGACAGGAATGCACACCAAATAAAAGTCCCCACAGACAGCAGATGCTTCCTTTAATGGTAACGCTGAATCATTTATTCATGTGACTGTATTTAGAAAACAGCAAAAAAAAAACAAAAAAAAAAAACGGAATTAATAAAAAAAAAAAAAGGTTGTTGGACAAAATCTTTAAATATTCCTAATAAGGAAGTTTAAGAGGGGCTGTAAAAAAGATGAGGTTCTGAGCCATGAAGGTGGAGGTAATAATGAGCCAAATGTTTAAGAAAATACTAAAATAAGGAACCTTAAAGGTTAAAAATAAAACTCATATAAAAATCAGGTGCTAAATATAGGAAAAATATGACCGTCTGCTTATTATAGCAATGCTTTGCTTTTGCCAATAGCAGAAAGGTTTGTCTTTCAATTGTACTAAATTAAACCCAGTAATGGAGCATGGTAGGGGTTTAGATAAGCATATTCTACACCTATAAGTTTGTGTCGTTTGGTTGTTAGAATACGATCTGCATATTTATAAAGGTATGCACACACAAATCATTTTGCACCTTCTTTGTTTGCAAAGTAGTGTGCATGTGCTTTAATACACAGAAAGCATTTTAAGATTTAAGCATAGCAACTTTAGTTTTACTGCTAAGACACTTGTTGCTGGGGAGCATCTTGGTCTCACTGCTATGTGTGATTAGGGGCTTATTTGATGCTGGCTACAGGGGCTCATCAAAGCTAAGAGTAGAAACTGCTATTATCTTTACATTTTCCTCTCACAGTTCTGGCGCCACACCTTGAGATGCCTTTAGACGGATATTCTTCCGCTTCCTGTGGGTTCCACTCTCTCTACTCTAATATTCTCCTCTGAGCCCCTCCGCTTTATCTGTTTGTTCATTTCCAGTTGCAGAAGATCCTAATTTAACTGTTAGGAATCAACGTCTGCTTGGCTTAAATAAACAACATAGAGGATCTGCATCACGTCACAACTTTGACCAATTCATTGCACAGTTGCAGCACCTCACCTCACAAAGAGAAAGCTCTTGGCAGGCAATGCTATCATGTATAAAGTAATACATTTTTAAACATATTAGCAGCTTCAAGATTGGCAGACAAACCTGTGGTGACAAAAGAAATGCTAAAAGCCGTTTAGTCTTTGGAGCTTCCATGCTTCATACTCCACTACCAAAGCACTGGAGCTGGACAAATCAAAATATTAGTTGGTTATTTTTTCTTTTGATTGACTCTGATCTCTAATTATTTCATAATTTAAAGCTTTAGAAATGCTGGTCTGCAGTGGCAGCAATTAAAATCCATTGGGCTTTTTTAGGTTTAGTAAATGCCGGGTTATAGTCTGGGACAAATACTTGGATGCGTAAATTCTGTTTGATCAAACAAGAACCTGTCGGACATGTTTTCTCTGTTATGTGCTTCAGATTTTTGAGGAAAAAAGTCAGGATTGGTCCAAATTGCCATAAACGGCTAATAAGTGCATCTGGGCTAAAAATTAGTCAGGGAACCAATGGAAGTCCAGCGGTGGATGTTTTTAGCCTGAGCTATCTAGTCAAAGTAGCCGCTTGTTTTCTTTAACTCAACTGTTAAGTAAGAGAAAAGATGCTTCTCCCTCCCGTCTTTCCATTCTTTCTCTCCTTCAGTCTGTTTTCTTCTCTCTTTCTTCCTTTCCCTCCTTTTTTCTCGCTCCCTGTCTCCATCCTCTCCCTCGCTCGCTTTCTCTCTGGAAATCGATGCAAAATGCTTTATAAAAAACCAATACTCATCTCCCTGTTTGGCCCGAGGTGTTCCTTTCTCATATGGTCTTGCAATTCTTCCAGCTAGAATTTCACCATACCCCTCCAGGCTAACTCTGTTTTTCATCTCCACTTTTTTCCTTTTTTTACAAAAAGCAATTAAAATGCTGCCTGTTTTTCTTTTTCTTTCCCTTTCCACCACTCCCATACCCTCTTGTCTATTGGTTTCCTCGTTTTTTTTCCTCCCTTTTTGTTAAATCCCTGAATCGGGTTGAGGGGGAGGTAAAAAAAACAGGGTGTGTGATGGGGGTGTTATTAACAGGTAGGTGGTAAGAAAAGGGTGAGGGAGTGGTTCTGTGGAGAAATTAAGAGATGTGATAAACAACAAAAGAAGAGCAGACTGATGAACGGGAAGGATTTGGTTAGGAGAGAAAAGCAGCATCCATGAGGAGATAAACAGAACAAAGAAGAGGGAAGCAGAAGTAATGAAGTGAGAGAAATATAAAACTTTAATAAAAACAAAGATTTAAGGAGAAGGAGGAAGTGTTGGAGCTTTCCGAGCAAAGGAAAGCTCAGATCTCACAAAAGAGCTTTAAACAGAGTCCAGATAATCATCACAGCAGCTCAGTGTCTGAGGGTGTCCTTTGACAGTGTATTAATAACCACCGGTTTCACTCATAGTGTATTAAAAAAATGACACCAACATTGCTCACCTAGTGGAGATAACTTGCTAAAAAAGAAAAACAAATATATTCTGGGGTCTCCAGAAGCTGAGTCTCTTTGATTTGAGATTCAAAACGGCAATTTACACAGTAGGAGGTGGTTCCTGGTTCTGAGTCATTAAGTCCTGAACTGATGGATAAGAACAAGGAGAGTTTGGAATCTAACTAAAAAAATTAGGGATGCACGATATTGGGATTTTGGCCGATATCCGAAATGCCGATATTTTAGAACTCATGTAGCCGATAACCGATATCGATACCGATGTTAAAGCTGGACAAAAATAAGTAGTCATTGAAAATAGCAGTTTTGTTATCCATTTCTGACACTTTGAAAAATAATATACTCAAATATATTTTCATATCCTGATATCAAATTGATTTTTAAA